ATACAAAAAAAATTGTATAATTCAAATGATAATATCTCCACCATTATAGCAAAAATATATTAAAAAGTCCGCCATTTTTAAACTGGATCGCCATCTTGAATTTTTGGACAATTTTCAACATGCCTCAGGTCTTAATATATTCTAACATGCTTCCTGGCATAAAAACCGAAGAGAAAACTTTGACAGGAAAAAAGGCCCAATTTTTCTGGCAAATGGCCTGAGGCTGTCTATCTAGTTACACGCTATGTAACCTTATATTGCGATGAAACTATGCTTCAAACGGGCTATGGCCAGTTTTCGCATAACTGCAGCCATTCACTAAATATTGGTATCATCATCATCTCAGCCTGTCACGTCACTGCTGGCAGGTGGCCTCCACAAGAGCTTCCACGCTTGGCGATCCTGTGCCACAAAATACCAACCCTCTCTTCAACTTCATCTCTCCATCTTCTTTTAGGTCTTCCTTTCTTTCTGATTCCCTCTCTCGGTCGCCATTCTGTCGTTTTCGTGGCCCATTTGTCGTTTCATTCTTACAACATGCCCTGCCCATTGCCCCTTCATGCTCTTAATCTTTTCGATGATATCCATAACTTTCGATCTTGATCTTACTGCTTGAAGTTCATTCTTGATCTTGTTTTTCCAGGACTAATGGTATATACCGGGTATATATTGATATATATCCCGGCTATATATTGACCTCCCTTCCGTAACCTGACTCTGAATATGTAGCAATGGTGTCATTAAAAACTAATTTCCTTTTGCAATGTTATTTTAACATGATATTATAGAATATTATTAGACACATCGTGATGTAAATAAACTTTTATCCAATTAATATCTGCTAAGGCGTGTAAGCAAATTGGTATTTTATACTGCCAATTCCAGATATAAGAATACGTACTGTGTAATTATGTTTTAATGTTGTACCGATACTACCGATGTGTGTAAATTTATTGCCATTAGCATGAAGGGCTGGAGGCCTGTAGTGCCCTGTGAATAAAGTTATTACCTTAATATAATCTCTCAGTAATCAGTAACACAAAAGTTAGCTTCGAGTAACAACTTTAGGAAACACCAGTAAGCATAAACTGATAAAGCTCAGAGAAATTAAAACTGAATTTTATGTGGCGGTTCAGAGTTCGTTTCATAACTCTGTTTCAGGCGATAAGCCAACTAATTGCCTACTCGGCTGACATCACAGAATCTGTTGTCGGCACTTTTTTACTATCGGCGTTAACAATGGTAGCTCCGACGGATAGATCCAATTTGTTCATAAGACACTAATATATTTAGGCAGTGTTACTATGCAAAGATTTATTTTGAACAACCTGAAGTAAATGGAACATTTGGTCAAATAAGCCAGCTCAAATGTCAAGCACACTAATCTGATTTTCACAGTATTAAAAACAAAGGCTTTCAAAAGAAGTTATATGAATTTATTTGCAGCTGTATTTGTTGCCATAAATGTTGCATACAAATAGAATATTGCAAAGATGAACATAATTTGTATAATTACTGAAACCTAGGACCTGTAACATGACAAATTCTATAGGATTTCCCTATTGTTTATACATAACACGTCTAAAGAAAACACACGAGTAACAAGTTTTTAATTTACTTTATTTGAAACTAGTGATATTCGAAACATTCAATCACTAAGACAGTGTGTTGCTATTCTGACAAATTCACAAAGTTTGAAAATGTCGGAAATACTATTTTTGAAGCAAAATAGAAACGTATAGTATAGGAGAGTATACAAAAGTTGCAGGTAAAAACAAAATACGATAAAAGTACAAGGTCAACTGCCAACATTCAAGCAACTAACGATATGAAAACAAGCTCTGTTAATTATTTTCACGAAACACAAATATATTATCGAAGTTTCTCGTATGGCAAGTACACGTTAAACTGAATTAGTTTCGTATTTTACGTGCTAATGACCATTGCTTAGTATCTAGAATTATTATGAGATTTAAACCACCTAACAACCTGTAAAGAGTCATTAAGATTTTGATGGGACGTCTATAATTAAAGCAAATTAGCGTTGTTGTGAGTCAAACTATGCGAACATGTATAAAAATGATTTGCAATATGACAATGCAGTTTACTTTAACAAGATATTTACTCATTGCGTTCTCGTTTTTTGTTTTGTTTTAAAGTAGTTTTTATTACCATTATAATCATATATTTTACCATATTCGAGTATAACAAATATTGTGAATAAACTGTTCAGGAATGTCTCTTTACTTTGTACTCCAAATAGAGTTATCAGTTCTATCCAATTTTTGAAATAACAGGTAGTAGTCGACGTTATGTTTGATGATGTATGCTCGCTACAAGGTCATTCATTTAAATGAAAAATTATATTGTTATTGTCCGACCACTATAATCATTCTACACTCCTAACCCGGCATTATCTATGAAGGAAACATTAGAAAAAAGTGACGTGCGCGTTTCCACTCCTCGGATAGAGTACATGACTTATAATGGACGTTTGGTCTGAACCGGTCCAACATACTCTTCCTTTTATTGTAGTATGCGAATCAAGATGATATCCTAGCGCAATAACTATAAATAACTTAGTGTGACCAGACCAAACACATGCAGTTCACTCTGTGTAATTTTGATTATGCGACAATAACAGATATCCCCCAACCTTGATAAGGCTGGATTCAGTTTATGTAAATTTCCGAAAATATTTAGTGTCGAGGCACTGAAATGTCAGGCTTGAGTGTTGATGTATTTGTGTTCAAGTTTTACATCTCTGTACAAACAATTTTTCAAACATGGCGAACTTTAGGCCAGGTGAATATACAGAGTGGTGTTGGTAGTTATTTTAATGTAAAATATGCCTTGAACAATAGATATTTCCATAGATGAGACATTTTCACCAACAATCCCATGCAGGAAACTGTTGAACAATGTTTAGTATAGTTTGACTCATAGATACGAATTCAGTTTCATTGTCAACATATTGTACAACCTTGTTCTTGAACACAATAACCTGTTAAGAATCGATAATTTTGCAGTATAATACTAAGATGCTGTCTTGTGCAATGAGTAAACCTTATTTAACAAAACACATCAACGATTAAATCACTATATGATCCTGACAGTTGGCAAGGGAATGTTCATTCTGCATCATGGAAATAAAAGGGGGGAGGATGTGCATGTGGAAACATTACATACAGATATAAACAACTGATAGAATAACATATGAAAGAGTAAAGAAATACATCAATTTTTAGAGCTGGTTATGCTAAGATAAAGGTAAGATAATATTTATACGCCAAGATGTGCGTAATGAAGATGTTTCTTTAAACAAAAGTGTATATAGTTGTATGCATATTGCAGAGAAATTGTAATTATACGCAAAGATTGAATGTTCAGTGTCATTATGCAACTACATTTTCAAACTTCGACACTACAATCATAGAACCTATAATTAGAATAATATATTTAAAAGTATAATAGATTTGTTTTCCCAAACTAAATATCAAATTGCATATGTGCGCAATGAAGATGCTTCTTTAAAAAAAGTGTATATAGTTGTATGAATATTGCAGAGAAATTTAAATCAAAATAATAACATGACAATATCACAAGGTTTCAAAAGTTCTTTGAAAGAATGCAAGAATAAACTATAAGCTGAAGAAACACTAGACATGGGATCTCAGTGTGTGTCTCTGCTCTTCTCCAATGACAACTGTCTTAATCTTGTAAGAGGTGTAGGTTTGTACTGTAAATAAAATGAGATTAGTATTACTCTGATTGTACAGATCAGGTAATCTGAAAGATTAGATACATTGAGCAATGCTTTGGTAAATAATATTCAACAATGTACATGTCAATCAAAGAAAGGACATATTTAAAAATAATTAAAATTATTCAACATTGAAAAAAGGACACTGCGGAATATCGTTTTAGGTTCAATCATACCTTGCTAAATAGTCAGCAGACATTGAATGAAATGAAATATTTAATTTACACTTAAACATAACAAATCTCAATAACTGATTTTTGAGATATAATCGAAACAAACCCATTTTGCACACATTTCCAAAAAAAATAATAATCAAACACTGTATAGTATGATGGAATTAATAAATAAATTGATAATTGATATGTGATTATGATATTCAACCTAATGAATCTGAGAGAATATTAGTAATAAACAAGAGTTGTCTGGCCGGTGATGATGAAATAGACGAAACTAAAACATCAGTTATCAGACAATGAAGTACACATCAATGTGTTCTATTACATAATAAGTAGAATTAGAGAATAACAAATACAAGATTAGACATTCGAACAAGAATCATGTTGGCTAATACAACTCTGCTCGTTGAGATGCACAATGAAGTTTAAATTTAAACCACAGTATTTCAGTTTATTAAACAGAAAACACTTAAATAATAAAATCGGTTGTAAATCTGTGGTTTAATCTTGAAATGTGCACCAAGTTTAATTTAAAAATATGAAAGCGTATGAGATAT